ACGCATGCCTACTCTATAAAAATAGAACTAAAAACATCAATCAGACCTATCATCAAGTTTTCTCCGATGATTAAATTGAACATCGTACGCATACACATAGGATCTGTGGCATACCGATTGATTTAGCCTAATTTATAGAATTAGAAGCCTATTTTTAGTATGTGCTATTTTTAGTATCAGTTGGTATACTTCCAACATTTCACACACAGCGGCGTATAAAGGCAAAGCATCCCAGCTGTGGGAATAAGTACATTTTTGAAGTAATCCGGTCAAAGTTGAAACTGCCTAGGCATCGGGGAGGCCTACACCACATACAATTATTTCCTGCCAAATAGGGCCTTAACAGTCAAGATGTAAGCCTAGGTCTACAGGCTATTATTTTTGAATTATTTTTACCTTTATTTTCATATAACCCTAGGCCTGGCCTATATTTTAGTCCCTAGTCTAGGCTAGCCTATTAAATATTATTAGGCCTAGTAGGATTACGTTACAGGCCCTATGCCTAACCTAGGCCTACACTATGGAACTCAATACTGTAGTTCAAACGGGCCGCATCTCAACGATACCCGCAATAGCATTAAAACATACTGTAGTAAATAATAGGAACCTAAAAAATGCGTCCGAACGATAGGCTATGAACAAAAACAAAGGCTTCCACAAACCGTTCAAACGCTTCTGGACGGTTCGAACGATTCGAACGATGGGCTATGAAGAATAACAAAAGCCTCCGCACACCGCTCAGACGCGTCTGGATGGTTCGAACCGTTCAGAAGCGTCTCGTGAACGGTGGAGCTTAGCTAATGAATATTCATAAAGTTGTTTTAATTAGGACGATTGAACACGTTCTTGTCGTTTTGAATAATTTGTCGATCGCGCCTTAAGAACTGACCACTTCAGAACAGTGCTAGGAATACATGTGTCCTACAGTACAAACAGACATGTGGTCTCAGAAACGTATATTTGTCACTGATCTCTACTATAATAGCTGGATTGCTCATCGGTCAATCTTGGTACAGAAAAAGTGAGGCCTCCGACGCCATGTTGGGAGGCCTAAGTGATGTACCAGTTTAGATAAGTTTCTTTTGGCATTTGTTTAGATTATAGTTAAAGTCAGGCTCCGGAGGAAAAAAATTTTTTGATATGTTGTAGAACTGATTTTTCTAAGACAGAAAAAAGTTGTTTGACGAAAAACTTGGGAACGGTGAATGAGACAGATTTTTTAATACTTAAAAACTGGGGGAATAAGGTGTAAAAATGGGCAGTACTTTTCAAAAATAAATTTAAATTAATGTAGGGATTGTTTTCAATGGATTGTATACTGCTAATCATGAATGTAATTCAGCAAGTGTTGAAGGTTTTGTAAATTTCACCAACCACAAAAATTGCTATTTTATTTTTCTTTCACCAGCACTTTTTATTTCACTCCCCTATACACTTAAAATTGTACGCTATTTTTGTTGCTCATTACTCTCATTTTCATATTTTCATTGCTACAGCACCTTAGTCAATTAATTAACACCTTATTTTTCTTAGAATAAAAGCTTGTGAAAGTTAAAAATGCAGAAGTGAAACACACACAACAACCAACAAAGTAGAACAATTAATATATTATATTATAAAACACACTTGTTTTGCAATGGTTAGAAATTTAAATACACAAATATTAGAATTGGTTTTGTTAATACTCTGTGCAGATTAATCGAATTGTGTTCGTAGTTACAATTGGCAGTGTAGATTTATAGTTGGTGCTCAGTTTTAACGCAGTGCAGGTTGATTTTGTGGTCAGTTTTAACTCGGTGCAGATTGATCTGTTTTAGTGGTTCACTTGTAGTAACTTCCGATACAGGTTGTTATATGACAAGGAACTAAACAAGGAAATGCTAAAGCTGATAAAGGTTACAGGCCAATAAAATTTGCTGTGTTTTTATTGTTCAGTTGTGATTTGCTATGGACACTGTTGTCATCCTGCTGGGAATAAACTAATTAATTTTCTCGAATGTTTACTTTAATATCTAAAATTGGTTTAATACCTATTTAATCAAGTTAATTTATTCATTCATCATGTTTACTCGAAGATATTTGAACTTCCATAAGTTTTTTCATGAGAATCCAAACATTGAGATGTACTCGCAAAGTACTTTTTATTGTACCTGTCCAGGTAAGGAAATTATTCAAACTTATTATTTATATTTATGTCTATGGAATTTGTTGAAAAGATAAATAACTTTACAATGAATATTTCCTCTTTCAATATGTGGTAGTTCAACCACATGTGGAGGAAAATGTTTATATATTATTTGTTCAAATTCATTATTTAGATTTATGTCAATGGATTTTATTGAAAAGATAACGTTACAATGAATTAATGAATGTAGTAGTTCAACCATGGAGGAATGTGTTTAAATATATCATTTCTTCAACCAGATATATGTACCTTTAAGGTTTAATAGTCTTTCTCAGCAACAGGTTGGAAACATACGAATCTATATTTATAAGAATAGATTATGGCATGTGCTATAGCAGTAGCATCTGAAAACAATGATTTAGACGACGAAGGTAGGAAGTGAACTGATCTTGTGGTGTAGACAAGCCTGTGTTTCCTATGGACATAGGGTTCCTTAAACTTTTAGTAATAAAAACTAACAAGGAAATACTAAAACTTTTAGTTCGTAGTCCCATACCGCACATTCCAACCACAACCTACTAAAACACAAATACACAATTCTGATTTCAAAATATTAAGTAAAATTGATACAAATTGAAATTATTTGATTATTCAGTTCTTGTGGTTTTTTTTTTTTTTTTTTTTTTTTAATTTTTTAAATTTTTTAAAGGTTGTTACCACTGCTTCATTTGAGAAATGTCTTTTTTGTTTGGGCTTGAGCAGTTGGATACTTGATATATTTTTGAGGTGCGACATGGGTGCTAGCACTTTGTAGCTGAAAAGAAAGATGCAACCATCCCATGGCAAAACAACTGCTATTATATTTTTGTTAAGTTACGTTGTTTGCCTTGGAATGGCTGTGCTATATAAATGCCAAGAGTGATATAATATACAATTAAGTTGTAAATTACGAGTTTAGGTTTATGTGCAACTGAAATTAGTTTCATTTTTTTATTTCAAAATTAAGAAATAAGTGAAAGTGTATATAATATGTAGGTATAATTAAAATGTATGGTTTAGTTGTGCTTTTCCAATTGAAATTAGTTTTATTAATTTACTTTTGTCTGTACTTGGTTTGTTACTTTTGCTTTATTTTACCATCAGTAATTCAGTAATTCTTCATATTGTTAGTGGCATCACCTATGAGC